AAAATCATAAATTTATGGTTGAAAAAACCATGTAGAAGGAGAATTCTTAAACAATTCACATATTACAAAGTTGTGATATATATATTAAATATATTTTGCCCCTCCTCCCAAATATTTTTACATAACATTCTTTAAAAGTCAGTATGCATAACTAAATTTTGTCACATTTTTTTTTTAATTGTTTAATTAAATTTTTAGTCTCAGATTATTTCTAATAGAAATGTATTTAAAAACTTTATTAAACAATTATTTATTAGACTAATTATTATTATTATAATTATTTAATAAATATTTATTAAAATAAAAGAAACATCACAGAAAGGGTCAAACTCAAAAGGTATAGCCCCGAGCAAAGATCTACATATTTTTTTTTAAAAAATTGCAAGTTTAAAATCTATTTGGCGATTGTAGTAAAATCTATTTGGCGACAGATCACGATACTGAAATATCCCCAAGATATTTAAATAAAAATTATTTAATTCGTTGTTTTACAATATTTTAGACATGAAATTTTAATACGATAACAATATTGTTAATATTAAACTTTAAACATTGTAGAATGTCATGGTTTTAACCGAGTTAAAAGTAGCACATTATTAATTTTCTAATTGTTTTAACTTGGCTAATTTGTTTACAGACAATTATTTTTATCTTTTTCATTGTTACCGAAAAACTTAGTCACAGTCGAATTACTTAGCAAACGTTGTTTTACAAGCATATTCTGATTAAATTACTGTACATATAAATCTTTAAAAATATTCCTTTATAAAAGCGAATCAAATAAATAGACCTCCAAAAATTTTGCAAATTATGCCTTTACAAACATACTAAAAACATAAAGATTAAACGAAAAAATAAAAAATAAGAATGTAAACTTTAGCACTTATTTACTCTAATTCACTTAAGTGTCACTTAGCCGGTTCTTCCTCTAAGCTCTTCAAATATATCACCCTGACTGAGAGTTAATTATTCTTTAGTTCATTACAGCTCTCATAGAGGACATCATACTGTCTTTTGTAGATCTTAAATTAGCATTATCAAATCACATTTAAATTAAAAATGAGAAGACAAGACTATTTTTAAAGAAACGATTTTATATTTCATAATTGTTGATAAAGATTTATGTTTGAAATAATTAAATAGAATTTTTTTTTTGGTATTAAAATAAAAGAACAGGATAGGTAAATTGTAAATATTTTATAGTTTAATATTTCAGTTATTAATTTCTATACATTTACATAAGAATGCCTGCGGTTTCATGCCTTTAGCCTTTCTCCCTTTAATAAAAATATTTTTTAAAATTCCCGTGATACTTTTCTTTGGAACTATGTTTAATGTAGTTTTCAGTTCCATATAGTTTTTTAAGTTAAAAAATTTTAATCTATATGAAAATCAAGAGAGAAACTAACGTACTTCCTTCCTCTATAACTTTCCACATGCTAATGGGGAAAGCATGTGAAGTGTTGCCATAGGTAGAGAGTTCTGCTCTCGCCACCTGCAGCCCATTTCGATCGCCAATGTATAGGCGCTCCAACTGCTTTAGTTATTTTTTTTTTTTGTTATAACTAATAAAAATGCTTTTATTCAGTCTTAAACTTACCTTTAGATTTAGCCTAATTTAGATGTAAAGAATTTTTTTTTAATCAATAAAGCGATAAGTACCGGTAAAAAAAATTTACTTCACGTTGCCTCTGAAATTGGACCGTTTTCGGACTGACAAGGCAAACAAAATTATCAATGGTTGACCGCGTAAAGCTAAGCTCAGATAGCGCTAGGGGTTAAAATTTGTCATAAGGTTTCCGGGTTTAATTCTATGTTATACTATGTTAATAATTTCCATTCGAGCAATCACTTTTTGACACTTTTGATTTACGCCGATTCGCAGGCCGAGTTGTTCATCGTTTTTTCAGTATTTATCACTACGAAATTCCAAATATTTTTTTTAAATCCTGCTCTTTTTAATCAGATTTTATAAATCACTCAAATTTCAAGTAGCAGTAGCATATTTTAATATTAATTTTTTAAAGAGTGTTGATTCCACCATGCATCCATGTCAATCGATTTTTGGGAGTTATTACTATGAATTTTCAAGGGATTTTTAAAATCTCGATGTTTTAACTCATTATAACGTACCACGAACTTCGAATCACACATTTGAATAATGACTTTATATGGCACACTCGATTAGCGAAGATCCTACAATAAACCCATGTAGTTTTATTGCCGCGTTTTTTACTATCGATTTTAACGTAATTTTTAAAACCTTGATATTTCGTTAAGATTATTTGTCCGATGAATTTCGAACCACGCACTTCAAGAATAATTTCTTTGGGCTCTCGATTAGCGACGATTTTACCGCTTATTCATCGTATTGACTCTTATAGCTTGGAATTTTCACATGACATTTAAAATTTTGATTTTTTAAAAATTTAAATCAATTCGTATGGGGAATTTCGAATTGTGCAAATTAAAGAATCACTTTTAGATGCTTTCGATTTGCGCAATTTTATTGTATTTCCACATAGTTGTATTCCAACAGTTATTGCTACTATTTTTCAAACACACAACTAATTTTGAAAATTAAAATGAAATATAATTCATATTAGTATAGTTTCCTCATATCTATTTAGTAAAGTGAATGTTAGGAAAAAGCAAATATTTGAAATGGATAGGAGGCAAGTTATTATTATATCTTGCAATTGCAGATTTTAAAAAGTGACCTTGACCTATCAACTTGGATTGTTTTCAATAAATGGAGTTAAAAATTATTTTACCCATTGAAAAATACGTTTCAGATGAAACAAAAAAACTTATGCTTTTTTACAATTCAAAAAAAAAAAAACTAGAATTAAAAATCTAAATAATAAATAAGCCAAGAAATTTTTTTTTTGCATAAAATTAGCTTTGGATAAGCTATTTTAAAAAATGGGTGCAATAATTTTTACAATTTGTATTTAGCTTTAGAAAATGTAAAAATAACGCATGGGGAGCATAATTTACACCATTCGCCTGCAATTGGGATCACTGTCTCTAAATTGCAGCAAGGGTTAGTTTTTAAATTATATCTATTGTTACAGATATGAATTTCCAAAAAATCTAAAGACATTAAAGGGTAAATTTATTCAGAGAAAATAATTTTTCAATATCGTTTAGTAATTAATACAAGGGTGACATTTATTAATTTGCATATCTCAAGTATTTGCACTTAAGTAAAATTACAGATTTCAACATTCTTAAGGGTGATGTTTTTATTTTATTTTTTGGCTCACTATACACCAACATAAAAATTTAGTAAATTTAAATATTTTTCAAGCAGTTAAATATGCTAAATATTGTTTGTATCATCTTTCTTTAAAATAACGTACCTTAAAAGAAATTAATTGCTACTAAAAGTACACTTATTGCCTTAAAAATTTGTGCACTAAGAAAGAGTAGTCAGAATGGAACGGAATTTTGCATATGTAAATGCTACGTTGATATAAATGAGTAATTAAATACTCAAAGCAAACTGATCATTTATTGCAGATAAAAAAAATACAAATGAATGGAGGATCTTAGTATCCTGTTGGGCCACCTCTAGAGTTAATGAATAACAATAAGTTCAGGCATTGAGGCATACAAGTCCTTTATTATGTTCTGCACCATCTATACCACAGTGGCTGTAAACACATCTCGAATTCGAATAAACTAGGTGGCTGTATAACTTGCTGTCCCAAGGGATCCCAAATATGCAAGATGGGTGACAATCCTGGAGATTAAGCAGGCCAGGGAAGCATAGTATTGTGGCAGGCTTTTGACACCCATGCTGAGTGTAACCAAGCATTATCCTGTTGAAAAATGGCTCCTGGGAGTCCTGCAATGAGTAGCAACATTTGCAGAACTAAGAAACTTTATGGGAAAATTTCAGCGGTATGTAAATTTATGTCTTAATGTATGATTCTCCATTTAGTTAGTTTTTAAAGTTATTTTCCACACCACGACATGTGAATGATTCAAAAGACCACATCCGACACTTTGTTCTAGTTCTGTTATGGTAAAGATTTAAAATGTTGGCAAAATTCTGCAAGATTTAGCTTTTGACTATTTCCCACTCAATAAAATATTTTGCAAAAAATTATAGTAGTTGGTAGTCTTGCGTACGCTAGAGTTCAAATGGCTGTGGATTGATAAAAGGGGTAATTGTGAGTCTTACGCGATGTCACCCAATATGCCAGCTGTATTGGAATGCAACCAAATAGAACCAGTCTACTTCAGTGACAAATCTAGATTTGAAATGGGCAGTGCCGATAATCGGGTGTGTGAAGACCCAGTAGTGAACGCCTCAATCCTGCTATGTTGTACAGCAGCACACTGCTCCTATAGCTGGTGCGATGGAATAGGTGCCATCACATGACATGCAATAGCCCTAATATTAATTCACAGTGCCACGACAGCCCAGCAGTACGTTTGTGACATCCTTCAATCACACATTTTTCCACTCATGGTAGGCTTTCAGGAGCCTTTTTTTAACAGAAAAATTCTGGGCCACACGTAACAAGGGGGTCACAGACTGTCTCCACCACATTACCACCCTTCCTTAACCTGCTTAATCCCCAGATTTGTCCCCGATCAGGCATATCTGGCACTAGTTGGGACGTCAAGTTAAGACAACCTCAGAGTCCAGTCAAATTAGAGGAGTGTTTCAGCAACTGTGGAATAAGATGCTGCTGAACATTAAAAGGAACTTGTATGCTTCAATGCCCATCTGTAGTGCATCATGCTAGAGGTGGTTCAACTAGGTAATAAAAATTCCTTTGCATTCTGCGAAAATTATAATTTTGCTTTGAATTTTTAATCACTTACTTCTAACAACGCTATATTTATGAGAGTAAAATTTCGCTTCATTGAGACAAATCTTTTTAGGGGCATTTTTATTGTCATTGCATTTTCTTGGGTCTTATGACATAAGATTGTAAAAAACATTAAGTGATAAACTTTGACTAGTGAAAAAACATAGTCAATAGTGTTCAAAAAAATATTTATTTTATTTCAGAAGATGTATAACAAATTACAACATTACTATACAAGAAAAGAAGAATTATCCATTTATTTCATCAGTATTTGGAAAATTGAAAAGAAAAATGGAAGAATTGTTTTCAGTTTTTTTCATTTCTTCTTTTTCTTCATTACAGTTTTTGATACTCTTATGCAGAAAACGACTTCCTTGTATTTTTTCAACAGGAGCAATTTTATGTTTCTTCATCTCTACACAAATATAGTAACAATTATATTACAAAAACATTTTTTATGGGATAACTTTAGCATATTAACTTAAATTTAAATAAATCTGAAACACTTTAGTGATTTTAATGATACAGACTAGTTTATGATTAAATACAAAATAAGGACACAAAAATTCAGTGGTTAGTTTTGAGTACAATATATGGAAATATTAACAGACTATTAAAAATTGCAAGAAGGGAAGGGTGCAGAGTGAGAGGGATGCAAAATTTCTCAATAACTTTAAAACTAATAATCATAATATTAAGTATTCTTTTAAACATATTTAATAAGTTAACAAAAATTTTTTAATGAATTTTCTAAATGTTAGGGAGAATAATTGAGCTTAGTGGAGGAACATGAAAAGCTACATAACAATACTCTAAACCAGTGTTTTCCAAAGTGTGATGGTGCAAAGTCTTTCCAGAAGAACCACAAGGTAGTTTTAATTTTTAAGAAACATCTGTTACTATTTCAGGAAAAGTTGCAAGAGTAAGCCTTATCAGAACATTTTCTATAATGAGTGAGTTTTGAAATTCTTAAGTATGGGTGGTCTTCAAACTTTAGAAAGGAAATAAGTGGTAAAAAAAGTGTTAAAATAGAAATCATACCTAATTCAATTCACTAAAAAAACATCTATTAAAACTTGTACTGGAATTTTAATTTCCTTAATTGAAATATGGAATAAAAAGTGATAAGGAATGTAGACTGAGTCAACCCATTTAAACGTTTGGTAAGTAAGGGGCGTAAAATGATACATCTCTATTAACTCCCACGAGAATTTTGATTTTGGCTGTTAAAGATTGATCAAGGATGATAGCCTCAACTAGCTGTAGGAGGTTGAGGGGATTGAGGTTTACTGGAAGACAGAAGAAAATGCTTAGCTTAGTTCCAGATCTTTCAGTTCAGTAAGTGTTTAGCTTTGATGATGATCTGTTTTATACAGTCAAACAAGTATAGTGAACTCCCGAATATAGTGAACGAAATGTTCGGTCCCGTGCCTTGCTATAAGCGGATAATGTTATTTTTTGTGGATATAGTGAACCAAAAAAGTTAGGAAGTTGGATATAATGAACTTTTTTCTGTCTTCAACTGATTTTTTTGTAATAATTTTGAAATTTCTACTTTAAAAAAAAATGCATATACAGGTTTTCAATACCATCTATAGAGGGGAATGTAGCGATAAGAATTTTTTCTTGTTTGCTTCTTTTATCTCACTTTCCCATCCCATAACAAACAAAGCAGATGTTTCCAACCCAGGCAGACGATGCCCCTGTAAGGTGTCAGACAGATCAATCTAAATTTTATGTCAGAGGGTATGAGCAATTATTCATTATTGGTTAAAGGGTTGGACACTAATGTGTGTTGATAAGGCCCTCATTTCAACTCCTTTTTGCTCTCAGTTCAGCTTAAAAAATCCTGCAAACAAGTGTCTCAAATTTAACTATGGCGAGCAGTAAACGTAAAATGTTCTCCATCGATGATAGAAAAATTGAAAATGGATGCAATCAAGCTGATATTTGCAGGGAATATAAACAATCCAAATCTGTAGTTTGTAACACATGGAAAAATAGGCAATTCATAATTTTTGCTCATGAAAAAAATTTAGATGGCAGAAAAAAGTTGAGAAAAGCAGATCACAAGGATGTTGAAGAAGCATTACTGAAGTGATTCACCAATCGAAGTTTTTAAACAAGTGTCGATGAATTTGCTAAGCGATTTTATGAGACTGCTTTTATGTGCTCGAATGGCAGGTTAGACAGGTTCAAAAAGCGAAATAACAGAAATTCAGGAAAAATTATCTGAGAGTCGGGAAGTTTTTCCATATCTGATATTGAGGATTGTTCATCGGCTAAAGATTACTAATTTTTTTTTTGTACGCAAGACAAAGAGTAATGGAAAATAACAAACTTTTTGCTACGACATAATATTTTTCAGTCATTTATTTGACCAATGTGTAATAAAAGGGAGGAGTTTGGGAACCATTAGTTAAATTGCCTGCGTAACAGATATAGTGAACAGAAATTTCGGTCCCTTGAAGTTTCACTATAGCGGGGTTTGACTGTATTAGCAATAAACAGTAAAATTACGGACAATTCCTCAGTTAGTAATGTCAAAAATGTCATAAAACTTATTTACAGCTTGGTTTTACATCTGGAGAGTTTAATGGTGAAGAGAGACCACAATGCGTACTGTGTATGAAAGTATTGGCAAGAGACTGTATGCTTTCAAATAAAATGAAGGGCCATTTGGAAACTAATCGCATGTACATGGTTAGAAAACCACAAGAAATTTTTTTAAAGGAAGGTAAAAGAATTCAAACAGAAAAAAAAAAATTTTTTCATGCCAGCTTCAATAGCGAAAAATGCTTTTCTTACTCTCACAAGGCGGCTTATCAAATTACCAAATGTAAGAAATTCCATTATCATTGCAGAAATACTTATTCTGTAGGTTACATTTATTCTGCTAAAATGCTACTCATCTAATACAATTAGTTGCAGGATTCAACAAACGACAGAAGACATTAATAATTGATTGAAGAAATAAAAGACACTAAATTCGTAATGCAAAAAAAAAAAAAAAACGAATGAAGGTGCAATCAAAAACAATATCTTCTGCAATTAAAGAATGTTTTCTAATATTGCATGGATTTTTAACACCAAAAAAACCTTTTTAAACAGCACCTATCATAGCTAGCCATATTGTTTGGTACGATTTTCCATATGAAAACTTGGATAATTTGATCTGAAAACTTTGGTAACATATTGGATTCAAGATCTTTTTAACATCAATGCTTTCTCTGAATTTCATTCTTCTTCAGAAGAAAACCTATTGAGCTGTCTTGCACCAAGAGTTTCTAAGCAAAATTTGCCAGTATAAAGTTAGCAGAATTTTGGATTTTAATAAAAGATTATTATTCATTAAGTGATAAACCCCTGCAATTAATTCTATTTTCTACATTTGTGCAAAGCTAAGTTTTTGGCCGTCACTGTAATAAAAATAAATATCTAAGTTAAATGTGGGAACAGAAATGAGGGCAACAGTATCTGGTTTAATTGCACAATTTGAAAAATTATGTAATGAACTGCAAGTGCATCTATCCCATTATTTAAAAAAATATAAAATTATTGACAAATAAAGGAATGATATTATTGTATTGCACATAAATGAGTTTCATTTATTTTTATCTCATATTTGTAAAGAGTCCCACTAGATGGGGAACTACTTAAAGATTTTATTTGAAAAAGATCATTGTGACTCAAAAAAGTTCTGGAACCATTGCTCTAAACTAAATTGGAATGTTTAAATTCTTCATAACAAGTAGATTTCATAGCTAGCATACAAAAATATTACAAATAGAAGATCATTTATTTTGATTAAAATTCAAACATTTGGCAACATTGGAATAGAATATGTGTTGTTACTCATAATTTACAACCTAGCTGAATTAAATGCTTAAGTTTTGAGTAGGATGGTGAGTTGTGATCCAGAGATCTGAAAATGGCTTCCTGTGGCAAATGAGCCCATCCCAAATTAAGTAACAAATTTTAATTTTTTTTTGTCAGGGAAAAAATAATTAATTGAAATGTTTATTCATCACTTTAAAATAAAATGTTTCAAAAAATTTGAAAAAAAGTGTAATTAAAATAGATTAATAAAACAAAAAAAAAAATGATTGAAGAATTTAACTAGAACACATGAAGAATTTAAACAGAATAGTTGTATTAAAGAATAATTTCTTAATTATTTAAGTCTGTGTTTGCAAGTAAAAACAATTTCCATGTTTTTATAATTCTCAATGCTTTTAAAGTCAAAATTAATTATGACCAAGGAGCATTTCTTACTGCAGAAAAGAATTGACAGAAATTTAGTCTGGTTAACATAAAAACTTCAGATCAAAACAGAGTTTTGAAAGTAGATTTTATGATTGAAAGAATAAAAATATTTTTTCATTAACTCCCTTCTTTTTCAATGAAGAATATTGTCAATCTGCAGTGTTAACATCGAAATTTTAAAGCTGCAATGGTTAATTAGGAATAACACGGTTAAACCTTTTTTTCTAAAGCCATGTGTTGCATGGTATGTCCATCAAATATTTTTGAAGGTTTTGCTAAAAATATCTGATCCTCATTTATTTGGGAAATTATTTTCTCTCAGATTAATTTAGGAAAAATAAATATTGTTCAACACTCACTGACCTTAAATTGCTGAAAATATTAAAAGTTTCTTTAATTAAATTTAAATTTTTTTTTCTTGTCTTGCTGCATGTATAACTGTTGTTTTTCATTGTGAAAATGTAACATATTTGAATTTTTTATTTTCTTTACTTATATAAGTGAATTTGATTTTTTTTATTCAAATTTAACTCTGAAATTTCTCAAAATAGGAACTTAATGATCTAAAAAAATAATTTAGATAATATTATTGTAGCTCACAATAAAAAAAACATTTCAAACGAACAGGTCACTTTTTTTCTGTATTATTTAACAATGTTAAATTTATTCATACTTTCTGCACAGATATATATATATGGNATATATATAATATTTAATTTTTAAATTGTAGTTAGGTAAAGGTAGATTACTTACTACAGAAATGGATTATTAAATAGAATTGTCTCTTCCAATCTAGTTTAAAATATTCAAATCTGGTCAGCAGTTTATACAATTTACTATAAGTCATCAGAAACCCCTTTACATTAAAGCAGTTTCTTTACTTTTCAATTCAATTAAGAAAAAACTCTATGAAATCTTTGCCTGTCAATCAGTTTGCTTAAGGGGATGCATTTACTTCAACAAAATTTCAAACAGGTCAATGAGAGCACTTTTTCATTGAGATTATACAAAATGAATAACATTTTTGAAATAACTGCATGTAGCCTAAAACTTTTTCATAGAACAAGCTGTTAAACTTTAATAATCGAGAATCTTCGCAAAATAAACAGGGTAGTTTTAACTGTCAAAAGCAGATGAACTATTTGAGATGTCAAAACATTTAAATTACTCTTTGTCATCAAGAAACTGATAATAAAACTTTTTTTTTTCATTTAAAAGCTTGGTAATTCACATTTTATATTTAAAAGTTGACTACAGTTTTTTTTTTTAAAAAAAACCCTGAAATCCAAATGTCTTCAAAATATCACTTAACATTCATATCCCTTAAACTTTTTTTTTTTTTTAAGTTGAAAGAGGTCATATTTCTATATGATATATAATATGGTCTATAGACCATATTACACACCATCTGTACAATAACTTTATCAAATTCAAACTAATTATTTCAAAGAAGATTTTTTAAAATTTCTAGAGTAATTATGCTCCTCAATCACTAAAAAAAGCCTAAATGCATGAATTTAAAAAACATATGAAAGTGTTCTGATAATAAAATAAACGAAACAAATATGCCTGATAAATCAAGTTGGATGATTATGATGATTAACCTCAATAATCTATCTATTTATATATATATGTACACATTTATAAACAAATGATCATGTATACCATTTTTTTTAAATTTTAATTTTTCTATCATTATAGGTAATGTTAATAAAAAAAGACACTAGCATACAAATCTATAATTAATTTAGATTATACAGATAACTACTAACAAACAGATACAGAAGATCGAGATAAAATTTTCTGTAGAATATTCCTAGCCAGCAGAGTCGCTAGTAATGTTCTACCTAACAAACTAGCTAAGGCTGGTTCAAACTTATAGTAACCTTTCCCAGCTTAGAACTTTCATTCCAACCAATTAAACACATCAACCAATTAAAAAACCAGTTAAATCTAAAATAGCTTTTGTTTGAAAAATTTACAAAATATGTATATGCTTAGCTAAGCATATACATGGGGTTCCTTGTTAATGAAGCTTGTTCTGCAGGCTCTGCATAGTTTTTAGAGAAACATCTACATTCTTTTGAATCGTGGAATTCTCAGACATCCACATTATGTGGACTTGGTGACATGACTGGTGATCACTTCTATACTAGCCCTGGATTTATTGACATTGCATATAGAAATTTTACAGAGAATGACTTTTCCTTTAGTTCTATAATGGCAAACGAGACAGAGACTGATGGTTTAAAAACTAATGCCCAGCATAGGACAAAAAAAAAATCAATAAATCAAAAGAAAAATGAGCCTACGTTGTTTCAGCTGTTTCATTTCATCTTGCATAGAAGTTCGATAATCCCCACAGGTCATGCGCATTACTTGCCTTTTTTTAATTAGAGGAGTCTTCTCATTAGCTAATACTTTTAATGATTGTAACAGAGATTTGGCTGTAAAAATTGTAAAACACAAAATTAAAACATGCTTATGGTACATAAAAAAGGTACAAGGGGGGCAAAATAAAACTGGTTTGGAAAATATACATAAAACAGTGTTTTCATCATAGAAAAAAAAATGGGTGAGAATTTCTCACCCTTTCTCAAAAACAGGGTGAGATTTCAAAAAGTTAAGTGAGATTTCTAAAAACTAAAAAAACACAAAAACTCTTGAAAAAAAATCATTTCTTTAATTATAATACATTTTTAACGTCTTCTATTTTTTAAAGCATTGAATATTTTTGGTGCATCATCATAGAAGATTTTGCCTTTACAAGATATTTGTCCATCTTACATAAGTGCATAAAAAATTTGANTCCGAATAACTATAATAATTGGAAATATAATGAAAGATCCAGGAAGAAAAGTGAAACGGATTTTATTCTAAATGGCGTAATTAGAAGCTTTTTTCAAAATGCAAGAAATTCACGAATTTTGAAATTGATTTATAGAATGCGCGAATTTCTCCCGGTAATCTTTTTTTAATGCGAAAAAAAGAAACAAATATGCGAGATTTTTGCGTTCTCGCGCTGTAGTGAAAACACTGCATAAAACTTGATTTCCATGCCAGTTTTATTTTGCCCATCTTGTATATAAGCATATAACAAATCAACATTTCAGATATAGGTCAGGCCATCACAGTGAGTTTTTTCTACCATAAATGAAACTAAAATAAAGAGACATAATAATTTTAGTAACCTAATAAGTAATATACAAAAAATTTTAAAAGGAAAAGAAATAAAAACATGATTATTTACTGTAAATTTAAGTTATTGAAGTAAAATTTTTTTACTAGAAAAGAATACTTTTTCAATACAATGAGTTTCATAAAATATGAAAGTTTCTGATTTTTTTCCCTTCCTGATCAGTTTCACATTTTATTCCATGCAAAACTCCAAGATGAAATCTCTTTTAATAAATAACAGTTAATAATTAAGTAATAATTTTGTATTAATTATGTAGTTTGATTAAAAAATAGCAAAAAAACTGTTGGTTTTTTTTTAAAAAAAAATCTTGACTGTTGCGCAGATGAAAAAAAAGCATAGAAATTCAATTAATTAAGTACCTAATCTATCATATTATTTTATCTTGTATTTCTTACAGATGAGGATGCAATAAGTTAGATTGACAGACATCTGAAATACAGCTTTTCATCTTTAAATTAATTTCATGTCAAAATGTAAAGCCTAATTAATTTCAGTATACCTAAAATCACAAAAATGAGTAAAATTGACCATGAGTGACATACACCATCGCTTTAATATAAAACTTTGTATTTGTAATTTGACTATATTGACGTATTTAATGCTAAATAAGGTACTATAACAAAATTTTAGATGAATAATTTAACTATTTTTAAATTATAATCACTATTAAAGGTTAATTTATGACATTTATAAAAGACTTATATGACTTAGCTGTTTTACGTTGTCAAATAGTTATAAATTCAACTAAAGAAAAAAGAGATTTTATTCACTTACCATACATCTTTTTGTACACGTTAGAAGCAATTTTTACACTATCTTTCTGTATGAGACTTGCATTTTTCACAAATTGATTGCATTTTCCATAAAAAGTGTGTATTTTTTAAAGAAAAGTTTTTTTTACATATATTCCTCCTCCCCCTATTTACAGCCCTATAAAATTTTTGTTCCAAGCAATTTATGACCAGAAATCAGAAAAAAGGGTGTTTCTGTGGATATTCGATATTTCTGAAATAGGGACAAAAATGCTCAAGGCAATTTAAAGAAGCTAAAAGCATTTTCCCCCAGTGTAAAATGAGGCTGCTATTTGAAAACTCTGTGGATGGTAGTTGCGAAAACGGGGATATTTCATCAGTCAAAAGAGCGTTTTATTGCTCTTTTGGTTAGAAAAGTGAAGAGTAACAATTATTTTATATTTGTAAACACTTCAATTAGATTTTGAAAAGTGTCCGATAATGTAAAAAATAAAATAAAATTATTTTAGGCTTCAGAGGGCCCCAGCTCCGAATAAAACTTTAAAATAAAAAAGTGGGATCTGGGGGCCCTTGCCATCTCAGGGCCACAAGTTACAGCTTATTTAGCTTATACGTAAATCCGGCCTTGTATTCAAACATAAATTTATAGCATGCAATCATTTACTACTGCTAACTCATAAAAAAAGACAACTGTACCACAAAGTTTTAAGAGGCATGGATGAAAATTTTAAAATTTGCTTTTTTTAAAAAAAGTACTTTGTGAAACTATTGTTTTTGTTAAAGTTGAATTTGTGAAAGTACTGTTTGATCGAACGGTGAATTTGTGAAGGTACCGCTAAACGGTAGTAAATCTGCCCTGAACAGACCCCTGTAAATATTAAATACTGTAAATTTAACTTAATTTGTGTACCCTGCAAATTTAAAATACTGCAATTTCATCTAAACCAAGTGATTAAGAAAATAATTTAAAAAATAATTAAAAATAAGTTAATAAAATATAATAAATTGATGAAAAGAATCTTAATAAGTGCAAAATTGCACAATATAGAACAATTACGATCACGTCATGACATTTAATCAGAACTTGATTTCAAATACTTAAATGTTATTAAATCAATTAATTAAACAACTAAAAATCCTTACAATATTAAAAAAAATTATTAAAAATAATTAAATAGAATAAAATGAATCTCATTTTGAGAATATTTGTACTACTCAAAATTATCCTATCTTATCCTAAAAAATATTAAAAATTATTAAATAGAATAAAATAAATCTTATTTTCAGAATATTTGTACTGCACAAAACAATCAAAAACACATCCCATTTCTTATCACTAATTTTAAATATCTGAAATTTTAAGCTATGAAATGATAAAAGCTTTAAAATAGGTAACTTTTAAATAAAAAATAATCTCATTTTCCACAAAATTATAGCATAAAATTATTGCAAATACATTATTTCTTATATAATTAACTTATATTAACCCAGTTTTAAATAAGTCAAATAATTAAAAATTATTAAAATAAATGTTAAGTAGAGAATAAATAAACAAAAATGATCTCTATTTAAATCAACAAAAGAAAAAAAAAGCTGGGAAAAACCAGCATTTTCCATTGATCCATGTATTCATCAAGTTGCATCATTTTACTTGAACATCTCTAATTTTGAAATAGTACATTTTGGAGATTAAAAATAACAAAGTTGACCTTCAGCTGAAAGTGGGGATAAACTTGATTTTTAAGGTAGATAGTTTAAACATTTCACCCCCACTCATTCATTTTAGAGAATGACTTGCATGTTTAAGTTTAACTGTTTTCTTCTTTACACCTGCAGCAGGAGAAAGGGGGAAGAGAAATCGTTCTTTCCAATCGTTATGGTTATGAGAAAGGAATTCGCCAATGGCAATTTTGGTTGAAAGAGAGAACATCTGTTGCATTATTGTTACATTCTTGCAAACTATTTTTCGCCTGCATTATTAATTCTTTAGATTATTATTGATCTTTAATTATAAAAACAGATCACTGCAAAAGATTAAGAAAAATTATGAAATTTCTGAGAATTAATTAAGCTCATGTAGTAAAAAAGAATCATCAGATAGGTGGGATTAAATTAGATATGGTGCACATACCAAAATTTAATGTTTTAAATTATAAATGCCATGGTGTATTTCCACAAAATTATAGAAGAAAGAATTCTAGAAAAATGCTAATATAACCTTTTTAAAAATTTTTAAATTAGTCATTCAATCCATTTAAAAATAACAGATTAATTTATTTTGTTATTTTTAGGGGTAAAGAAGTTCAAAAATTTAATTTATTATTGTTTTGCTTACTATACCATGTAATCTAAAAAAAGTCTCTGGATTTGAATTTCTGAAATTGGCAGGTCTGTTTCATTTGGTAGGTCTGCTGCGCTTTTCACTTAAATAAAATTATTTTCACAAAAAACAATTCACTTATAAGTCACTCCAATTACACCACATTTTCATTCTGTATATCCAACACATATTATAACAAGTACCTTGCTTTGGATTCATATTTTTCACTTGAAGTTTTTGTTCTATATTTTTTATGCACCAAAATACTTGTTCCTCAAGTGAAAATTCTTCCTACAAAAAGAAAAAAAAAATCATGAAGTTTATATTATATTTTATAAGCTATGATGAACTGAAAACTTCAACTTAAATGTTTAGAATATTTATCAAAACAATAAAAATATTCTTACAATTTTATAACTGCATACCATAACTATGACTGGAAAAAGATTGAAATTTATTTGGTTCACAAGCAAGATATGAGATTTATATTTGATGAAATGTGTACCTTTGAAAAATAGTTGACAAGTATTGAGGGGGGGAGGGAGGTGACTAAGTTTATTCAATCAATAAATTTATACAGTGTAGTAAAATTGTTTTCTTAGAGATGAGAAACATAACATTATATAAATAAAAGGACAAGCCGTCACTCACTTATTCCTAATTTTGCCACTTCTTATGAAGTTGGAAAGCTAAATTTAGATCATGTGTTCTTTATGAGTAGGGTTCAAACTAGTAGGGTGACAATTATCACCAAATGTTCTACAAAAGTCGCTAAAATCATAAGCAAGGGCGGAAAAATTTGCAATCTTAAAATTTGTTTGGAATTTACAAAATATGCATAGCAACCATTTTGTAACAAATGCATAATTGAAATTTGAAGACTAGATGAAATAGAGAATTGTCTAGAGTGGTTTGTCTAGATTTTTCTGAAAGGTATTTATTTTGTGAAAATTTAGACATAATTTGTGAAAATTAAAAATAATATTAAAAAATCAACACAAAAATATGGATTTATTCGTTTCTTACGAAACACAAAAATAAAATTTTAAAAAAAAAGTATTTTGTGAAATTATTGTTTTTCTTTTGTTGATTTCCAAAGTTGAATTTGTGAAGGTACCCTAAGCAGTAGCAAATTTGGCTTGGACAGACTCTTTAACTATTAAATTAAAGTTTCAATTAGCAAACCATAATTTTAATTTAAAATTGTGTTTTTTTTTCTCTTGATTTTTCAGGGTGGCCACTCAAATCAGATTTCAAATTTCCCTGATTTTTCCAGGTTTTCCAGTAAAAATCATAAAATTTCCAGGTTTGCGTGTTACTTTTTTCTTATTAAGTATAGGTGGGTACAAGAAAGGTGTCAATATTATAAAGTAATTTATTTAAAATGTTATTTGTAATATACCATATTGAATAGATTGATAGATATATATTGCTTCAGATCGACATTGCTTTTAATGAATAAAAGATGTTTCAAAGTGTTAAAAGTAGTCTTTGTACAAATGTATCAAATACAAATTACTGAGTGACCCAAAAAACCTAGGATAAGCACTGTTTAATATATTTTTATTAAGCAAAAGAAAATAATTCCAGGTGATTATACATCAGTAAATATTTATATTTATTTACATTTCAATATATAGCCATTTTATACTTAATTTTATTCAAACAGTGCTCTTAATAAAATTCATTGACATAATTTTCTTTAAACTAATATCTAAAGTCAAATGTTTAAATAATGTTATTTGTTTTGAATTAGCGCAATTGTTTTAAGAGATATTCAGCACTGGCTAAGGCAAAACTGTCAAATTTCTTGTTGCATATTCTATGGAAAAACACTAGGTAAAACTTTTTAAATTTTATTTTTTATTTTTTCGTATTAGAAATTAGAATATTTAAAGAATTCCAATCTAACCACATGGTTTCTTTGTTTAGATAAGTTTTTGTTTTTACAACTGGGCAATTCCATGGTGTCAGACATAAAAAATGAACATGAATTTCTTAGAAAAACTATCTTCTAAAACATAAGTTTATAATCATAAAATTTTTATATTAAATATTATTACATCATAACTAATTAAAACACAATTAATTTTATAAAAATTTATTATAAGTTCAAATTAAATGGATTAAATTGTGGGTGTCGGATGTAAATCGCAGGAAAACAAAAATTGATTACTCATTTACAAATTGTCTGAACACTGTGAATTTGTTTGTAATTTAAATGTAAACTTGACTGAATTTTGATAATGACATTTGAATAAAAAATGCAGTGCTATGTATTCAGTGCAGTTCTTATCTAGTAAAATTTGAAATATACAAGATCTTTAATAGTGATGATATCATTAAATCTATTAAAATAAGTAGAATAATATGGGCCGGGTAGTGAGAATAATCCCAGAACGAACAGAGTCTTTAATGCAACCCCCTCCAATAAAAGGCCAAGAGGAAGGTCCAAAAAGAGACTGTGTGGATGAGGATTTTCTGAGGAAGGCTCACAAAGGGCTGCCGTGCCAATGCTGATGATAATAAAATATGATATATAATTTTATATTTTTTACTTCAGTGACTGACATAATTTTTTCAAGATAGATATAAATTTTAGTTACTGATAATTATTATAATGACTTAAAATTATTTTAATTTTAGTCTCAATACTATGAACATTATTTTTCAATTAAAAAGCTTCTTTAAATTTAAATTGTCTAATATTTTCTGTT